AACGAGATCAATTAGGTATAATGTTTCAGAATGTACGAAAGAGTATTTACTTAAAAATTTGAAATAAATATTTAAAGTATGTGGGATCTTAAAAACCTAAAAATATCAATCTGGTTTTTCTATTCAATGACTGTATGTATCCATCCAAGCCTAAGTTATCTGCCAACTTTCCATGCTCAGAACATAATTGACAGTCCAGAAAGAAATAAGAGGCCTCTGAGAAACCAAAACACAGTTCACAAATCATAGGTGCATTAACATAAAAAGCCCTTTAGGTCTTCTTCTAGAACCCAGTTGTTCTTTTCTATCAATAGCAAATACAGAGGATACAAATTCTCACACAGCTAATTGGGAGTTAATTTCTAATTACAAACAGAAAAATCAGCTCCAAAAGCCAGATGAATACATTCCACCTGAAATGGACAGGTTGTACAATTCACCTTATAAAGAGGAAAACCAGGATTCTTTTAAAATCTTAAATGGACCCTAAGAAGAAAAGCTGGGCAAGCAAAGAGACAGAAAATGATTTAAAAAATAAGGCCACCAGGAGATCTCAAGATCACAGCAGGCTGTGGACGCTGAGTGTGGAGGTTGGAGTCCCATCATCCTCACTAAACCTGAGATTCTCATGGAGAGGCGCTCCATCCCAGGGAGCCTGGAGGGACACCAAAGAAACCAGGAGGTCTTGAAAGGTCTCCAAGAGGAGAGGACAGAAGAGCTTCTGATCGGTGCTGAGGAGTGAGTGGGCAGGGACAGAAGTGATCGCTTGAGGTCAAGGAGAGCTTTATTTAGAATGGATGAAACTTGAGGATGTTTTCAACACAAGGAGAAGAAGCCAGGAGAAGAGCAGAGTGGAAAATAAGACCAAAGGGAGAGAACCGTGTAGGAAGAGAAAGGGAAGGGGTGGCATGAAAAGCACAGAGGAACAGAGGAGCCTTGAAGGACTCCTTCTCCCCCTTGGAAACCCGCTTCGAGTCCTGCACCCCAGCTGGTTGCCATCTCAGGCTTATGGCAAAGAATTAGCCTAAGGCGGCTCAAAGCCGGTCCTCAGACCGAGGAATCAGCATCACCTGGATCCTGTTTGCTGAATTTCTAAGCCCAGTGCAGAGCTAAATCAGACGCTGCAATAACCCAAGACTGCAGGTGATTCGTATTAAAGTTTGAGCCGTAGTGGCTAAAGAAGTGTTTACGAATATGGGCACTGAAGTCAACCAGATCTGGGTTCAAATCCAGCTCTCCCCTGACCTTATGGTATGTGCCCAAGCTTGAGCAAGCATTTCTAAGCCTCAGTTTTTTCCTCAGTAGAATGAAGACAATTGTACTAATATTTCTTGGGGGCTACTGTAAAAATTAGAGTCTGGGCACGGTGGCTCACACCTGTAATCCCAGTGCTTTGAGAGGCCTTAATGGGAGGATGGCTTGAGGCCAGGAGTTTGAGACCAGCCTGGGCAACACAGTGAGACATCCTTGCCTCTATGCTTTTTTTTTTTTTTTAATTATCTGGGCATAGTGGTGAATGCCTGTAGTCCCAGCTACTCGGGAGGCTGAGGAAGGAGGAGTGATTGAGCCCAGGAGTTTGAATCTGCAGTGAGCCATAATGGTGCCACTGCACTCCAGCCTGGGTGACAAGGCAAGATTGTCCCAAAAAATAAAAATAATTAAATGACATATTGTAGAGGTAAAGAGCTTGGCATGAAGCCTGGCACACAGTAATAATGGATGGGCTGTTATTATTGTTCATCCCTTCCAGTCTGACTGGTCAAATAGCTCCATTATGTCCCTGTGCGAAGCACTCTGGGAAAGAAGTTGCCAAGGACAGGGAATACACTTCAGGCTTCTGCATCCCACAGGATCCAGCCCGCAGCTCTGCACAGGGAAGGTACCCAGAAAATATGGACTGAAATGAATATACCCAGGGCTGTGACACGGGCAAGCCAATGATCCCAAAGCAAATATGAAAACTACTTCTTTTACTCTGTTTACACAAAAACCAGTTAGACAGAGGTTATGAACTTGTTTGGGATTAAAAGATCAACTTTCAGAAGGAGACAAGAACCTTAGGAGGAAAAAGAGTGCTTCTCTCAAAAGCTCCTACAACAGGCAGTCTCTCTGCGAGGGACAGAGATCTCTCTGAACCAACAACAAAGTGCTCCCGAGATCAGTAGTGCAGATTGCTCCTGAGATGTGTGACTCCAGATGAAGCTGAATGTTTGGGAAAAACACTTAGGTCAAATTGCACCACTAGATAAGAGCTGCTTCGTTGTAGGCAAAGTTCCAATCATGAAATGACTGACTTCATGCAGCATACCTTAATTTCCTGGGTTGGCAAAAGCATGTACACAGAAACCCCATCAGACTTGTTATCGTAACATGAATCTTTCTGCTTGGGTTGTTATAGATAAGGGAAAAAAAAGGAGAACTTGTAACATAGAACAGCAGCTTCTACTGTAAACAGTACAGGATGAGGGCAAAAGTGCTGGATGGATCACAGCCAAATTTCTATATGAAGAACCCACAGGTCGCTGCAATTCAATCCATTCAACTAACTCACAATTCTGGAGTGCCCAACTAGGTAGTGGGCACCGGGCTAGACCCTGGGGGTGGTGATAGAACTGAGACCCAAGTGCCTCACCAGGTACCCCGTACCGAGAAAAGGGCCACCAGGACCTAGTGACAGCAGCCCTAGAGTGCAGGCTGGAGTCGAGGCCCGGGAGGGCCAGAGGCATGTCCGAGGAAGCTTCATGCACATCTCCTTTGATGCTGCTTCCCTGGTGGGCAAGAGAAAACATTTTGGGGAGACTTGCCAACAAAACTCCAGGGGCATGAAAGACCCTGAAAGGGAGGCTACAGGGCCCAGGCTTTTGCATGTCAGCAGTGAGGAATGATGAGAGTTTGGCCCTGGCTGAGTGCAAGATGAGATCTTTGTAAAGGAAGGTCATCCTGTGGCTGAACCAGACAGGAGAAACCAGGGGCAAGAGACCCATTAAGGGCAGAGCAGTAGCCCAGGTAAGAGATGGTGAGGCTGAAGGGGAGGTGGTAGGGCAGAGGCCTCAGGGACCTATAAGGAGAGGAGTTAAGGATGACCACAGGGTTCCTAGTTGAGTCACAAATCAATGAAGCCCAGAACTGCTGGAAAGTGTTAGATCTGGGGGTACTCCCAATCACAGCGAGGCACCCTGAGATCAGTGCTTTAACACAAAATTGCAATGAGTGTTCTAAAAGCCCAGGCAGCTGCAGATTCAGGAGATGGCTCCAAGGCTGCCTTTTATATCCTACAATAAAAAGGCTTCTAGCGGTTCAGTCTCCCTAATTCTCCCTGCAGCCTGAGAGCCACGTGTGCTGGAGCTCACCAGACCTTCTTATAAAAATCCAAGGGTCCTTTCCCTTGGATGCAATTCATCAACTGTAGAATATTAAATAAATAACCCCAGGTGTGGCCAAAGACGTTCACTCTGAATTGAACTCCAAAGTCTTCCAGAAGTCTGTTTACCACAAAACAGTCTGTCTCCAAAGTAGAAGCAAAGATAAAGAAGTGTTTGTTGAATGACAGACTGACATCCACTGCAAGATGGGTGCATTAGCCAAATTTCACTCTGAAGACTAGGCATGTGGCAAAATTAAATGTGCCAAAAGTACTAACATAAAGGTAGGTAGGAAGGCACCAAATGTACTACAATAGCTTGTATAACATCGGCCTCATCCAGTGATCAAGGTAACCAGATAAATACACACACACACACACACACACACACACACACACACACACACACAGACACACACACACACACACACACACACACACGGTGTAGACTCCAAAGTTTCTGGTGTAAGACAAATTCTCTGACAGTACTAGTGCGCACTTGACAGCCTGGATCCTTAAGACATCCCCAGGTTTGGTGAGAAGAGACAGCCCACATATGCTTGGCACTTGGTTGCGCTTCTTTGGAGACAGAGGGTACACGGTACACCCTGTGGTTTTACTCCACAGAGGATATCACCAGCAGCTTGGCCAGGGTAGTGCTGTATGGGACTGTCCCCTACACCATGTAAGTTAGGCTCTTAACCACATCCTCCCAAATGCCAGTAAGTTATTGAGAAAATCTGAAATATCCCCATGCATTTCCAAACGCCCCCTAGGGTTGCTGCAGGACCTCCATGCAGACCCCTTGGAGTATTCACTGATGAAGTTCTTCTCTATAAATACTCTGTCTTCCTACCTGGTAAAAATAATGACTGCCTGTACTTGTCCATCTGATATGGAATAAAGAACTAATATTTTTTTCAAAGCAGCAACATGTCAAATAAACCTTAAATGTTCTAGAGTTCAGTGCTATTTTTCAGCAGAAGCAAATCACAGAGCTAAATTACTCAGAGACCATAGCACTCTCCAGGCTTTAAAAAGCTGAGGCAGTATTTTTTTCTTGGAGAATTTAAAAATAAAATGCAATTCAAACTCTAGAACATACAGTGAGGTTTGTCTCATAAATTCTGGAACATCCCAAGTTCTATAAATCAAGCCCTGAAGAATGAAAGTACCACGGCAAAGAACCTCAGAACAAAGATTATGCAAAAGGATCACTGCTGATTTTCTATTTTTACATGAATTATAATGGCAGTGAAATAAAACTTGCCCTTCTGAACTCCACCCCCATACTTGTGCTATGATTATTAAAGTACTTTGCATTGTGCATATACTTTAATGCCAAGACTTCAAGTGCTAACATTTAGACAGAATGTACTAAGTTATATTAATCAAATTGTTAGCAATAAACCTTTCTGTACCATAAAGTAAAGCCTTAAAAAAAAGAAAGTCCAATCCTTCCCAACCCAAGAAATATGCCCAAGGGTATCTACAGGAATGGCTGCAGTAACTGGCAAACACTGGCAGGAATTTTCCAATGACTGAAATCAACAAATCCTCAGGAAACATGCTCAGACAGATGGCACTTAAAAAAACCAACAAACTGCATTTAGATTTACAGGAAGATTTTTTCACTTACTTTGAATTTCTGTATAATCTTCGTTCCTCTAAGTTAAAGGGGGAAAGAAAATCACACTGCAATTCCTTATTTTTCTAATTAAGAAAAAACAAAAACAAAAACACGTTATATCCTCGAATCCAGCTTTGGATGTCTTCGAGTATTTTCTTGGAGTCTCTTTCCAATGAATACTACTTTCAAATTCTAAGCACAAAGCACAATCTCAAAAGTTAGCCCAAATAGCGTACAAAATCAAAGATCACGATGTCAACAAACAATTGCATCTATCAGAAGCGATGATGATTCAGAACAGGATAAATTTAGAATGGTGTTTTCCAAAAGGCTTTTTGGATGTCAAATTTAGGAAATAGGTGAAGGCTACATCCCAAAAGTTTCTCTCCAAAAAGAACGCCAAAATATTAATAAAAAGAGTCTTCTTTTTGAAGTTTTCCGTCCCCTGGTGTCCTTGAGGCTGAACTTCCCCAACCTGGCCTCGGTGAAGCCATCCATTACTGGGCAAATCCACATGAAACCCGAGGACACTTCAGCCTGGGGAGGACGCCGTCAGAGCAGTGAAGCAACTCCACATGGGACGGGCCTTTTATGGCCTGAACTCGAGAGCCTTGATACCAGCTCATCTACCAGAAATAGCTCTGGAAATTCAGAGGAGCTCATCAGCTGTTGCAGCAGGCCTGGCCAGCAGCTATTTCAAATGCAATTAGGTTGTCCACACTGTCTTTCGGCTTGCTTTACAGAGAAATTAAAAATACAACAGCAGTCTACCGAATAAGATACAACAATACAGACTTGGATGAGCAAACATTTCTCTAACTTAGTTTTTTAGGCTAAAAAAAGAGCACATGATAATTGATAAAGCTCAGACACTGAATACCTCAAAAGTAAGTAACAGACATATATATAATGAATGCCCAAAATGTAACTAACAGACATACACATCTATGAAACAGCATGATGTAATGGCACATGTCTCTACAAGTTTACAAATACTGTAACCTCTGTGGATTTCTTACCACTTCCAATAAGTGTAGAAAATGAATCATCAGAAGAAAGCATTGTGCTGGAAGTACTTGCTGTAAAATGACCCAAATATTTTATCTTCAAGCCAAAGTCAGTCCTCTGAACTGGCAGGTTCTATCTTCCTGTGGATCTTGAGTAGCTCACCTCACTGAAAAACCAGATGAATCTAAACTAATTAAAAAAATATATTAACTATGAAGCACAACCACTTCTTAAAAGGCCATGTGCATTTTTTAAACATTAAAAGGCTGCCAGCTGGGGGCAGTGGCTCACGCCTGTAATCTCAGCACTTTGGGAGGCCAAGGCAGGCAGATCACCTGAGGTTGGGAGTTCAAGACCAGCTTGATCAACATGGAGAAACCCCGTCTCTACTAAAAATGCAAAATTAGCTGGTCGTGGTGGCACATGCCTGTAATCCCAGCTACTCGGGAAGCTGAGGCAGGAGAATTGCTTGAACCCGGGAGGCGGAGTTTGCAGTGGACCAAGATTGTGCCATTATACTTCAGCCTGGGCAACAAGAGCAAAACTCTGTCTCAAAAAATAAGTAAATAAAATAAAATAAAAAAGGTCACTGACATGTTGAATGCACTCAAACAAATATCACAACCCTGTTTACAAAAATACTTATAATTGTAGGTCTCTGTCCCTGTTGTTACCAAGAACAGAGAATCTTAATTGTCTGTACCAACTTCAGTATAAACCACAAACCCCATAAGATTTGGGCTGCAGTACAACAAAAACCTATGTGCTGCTCGGGGCCTCCCAGAGGCCTCTGGGTGCCAGGGTTCTCAGACCACCAGCTGCCTCAGCCAGCAAGGGAGGCCTCTCTAAATTCCCGTTACTAACTAACCCTGCAGAACAATGCCTCCCCCTAAAAGGACAGTCCTGATGCCAGGTGAAAAGATGACAGGGATAATGATTAAACATTGGGGCCGGTGGCCCACGCCTGTAATCCCAGCACTATGGGAGGCTAACACAGGCAGATCACGAGGTCAAGAGATTGAGACCATCCTGGCCAACATGATGAAACCCTGTCTTTACTAAAATACAAAAATTAGCTGGGCATGGTGGCTCATGCCTGTAATCCCAGCTACTGGGGAGGCTGAGGCAGAAGAATTGCTTGAACCTGGGAGGCAGAGGTTGTAGTGAGCTGAGATTGCACCATTGTACTCCAGCCTGGTGCCTGGTGACAGAAAAAGACCTTGTCTCAAGAAAAAAAAAAAAAAAAAAAAATTAAACATTGGCTTCACGATTGTTTTGTGCTAGGGGTAAAAGAATTTGTCCCAGCCAACATTTTTTTTACCCATCTCAAGATGGCAAACAAACAAAACTTCATACATGGCCTTTGCATCCTCATCTCAGTCCTGACCCTGATCTTCCTTTCCCTTAGACCAAATTGGCTTTTCCCTCATTTTAAAGTTTATTTGATTGTGTTTTATGTATTCCTATAAGCTGTGTTAAGCCCCCCCTTGGAGAAAAGTAGGGCATAAATAAATAAAAACTTATATAAAACAGTTCACTATCTGGGTCTTCTCTGCAAAGAGAAGATAGGAGGAGAAAATGAATCACTGGCTAACACAACAGTGCTATTTCCTTCCTAAAAAAGATTCACTCCCACAAAATAAACATCTAGCTTCTGTATGCCTCTTAACTTTTCGCACACTGCCTCCCTGTAGCAACCAAACTGTCCTAGATTAATGCATTGGAGTCTAATAGGATAAGCCTCCTCTGTCACTTCTTCTATATACCCTTTTTGTCTTTGATTATTTAAATCCCAGTTAATTCTTTCTGTGCAATCCATTTAAACACGTTCCTAATTTTTTGGCTATCTGCCTAACTTGGAAGACTCTCATCACACTCACTTCTTTCCAATCATGATAATCATGAATTAGAAGAAAAATCAGCACACAAAAGATGTCAGTTCTCCCCAGACTGATCTACAGCTTAACACAATTCTTAACAAAATCTTTTAAGTTGTTTTTTTTTTTTTTTTGAGACATGGTCTTGCTCTGTTGCCCAGGCTGGAGTGTAGTGTTGCAATCATGGCTCACTGCAGCCTCAACTTCCCCAGCTCAAGCCATCTTCCTGCCTCAGCCTCCTGAGTATCTGGGGCTATACTTATGCACCATGACACTGGGCTAATTTTTTAATTTCTTATTTTTTGTAGAGCTAGGGGTCTCATTATGTTGTCCAGACTGGTCACGAACTCCTGAGCTCAAGACATCCTTCCACTTCAGCCTCCCAAAGTGCTGGGATTACAGGTGTGGGCCACTCTGACTGGCCTCACAGTGATTTTTGGCAGATATTCTAAAATTTATGTGTAAAGATATAGGCCCTAAAATAGCTGAAAAACATCTTGAAAAAGAAGAAAAAAGTTAGGCCAGGCAAGGTGGCTCATGTCTATAAACCCAGCACTTTGGGAAACTGAAGTTCACAGGCAGAAAAGAAAACTTGCATCACCCGCTCAAGTGTTTCTGTGTAGCGGTCTCATAGTCCATTGCTCACTCCTATTTCTGGAGTCAAGATGAGGTCAGAGCATTGGTCAGGACTGTCAGTGCAGGAAAAGAAGACAACAACACTCTCTGTCTCCTTGCCCCTGCCTTTGGAAAAGTTCTGCTTTCTACATGGCAGTGAACTTGATCAATCACTAGAGGTATTTTTTTAGCAGTTCATTTCCAGATGAAAAGGTTTGGCAACCAGGACCTATATTTTGCCCTATTTTCTGCCATGATGGGATCAGACTTGGAATTATTTCATTTTCTCAATAAGCTTAAGATTTTGACCTCTATGAGAGAAGACAGAGACATACTGTAGTCTACTGATATGTACCCCGATACACCTGTATGAGTCTGAGCTTGTGGCCTTCTGTACCATGGACAAGTCATTTTGTTTGTGCATAGATTTCTTTTTCTTTTCTTCTTCTTCTTTTTTTTTTGAGACCAAGTTTCACACTGTTGCCCAGGCTGGAATGCAGCGGCGTGATCTAAGCTCACTGCAACCTCCACCTCCCAGGTTAACGATTCTTCTGCCTCAGTCTCCCAAGTAGCTGGGATTACAGGCACCCACCACCACGCCCAGTTAATTTTTTGTATTTTTTTTTTAGTAGAAACCGGGTTTCACTATGTTGGCCAGGTTGGTCTCAAACTCCTGACTTTGTGATCCACTCGCCTTGGCCTCCCAAAGTGCTGGTATTACAGGCATGAGCCATGGGGCCTGGCCTCGATTTCTTTTTAAAGACAAAAAAGGGGATATTCTTTTATTCTTTCTTTCTTTCCTTCCTTCTTCCTTTCCTTTCCTTTCCCTTTCCCTCCTTCCTTCCTTCCTTCCTTCTTTCCTTCTCTCTCTCTCTCTCCCTCCCTCCCTCCCTCTCTCTCTCTCTCTCTCTCTCTCTCTTTCTTTCTTTTTCTTTTTTTTCTTTCTTTCTTTCGAGGCTGAGTCTTGCACTGTTGCCCAGGCTGGAGTGCAGTGGCATCATCTCGGCTCACTGCAATCTCTGCCACCTGGGTTCAAGCCATTCTCCTGCCTCAGCCTCCTGAGTAGCTGGGACTACAGGTGTGTACCACCACGCCCAGTTAATTTTTTTGTATTTTAGTAGAGACGGGGTTTCACCATATTGACCAGGATGGTCTCAGTCTCCTGACCTAATGATCTGCCCACCTCAGCCTCCCAAAGTGCTAGGATTACAGGCATGAGCCACCGTGCTCGGCCAAGGGGATGTTATTTTCAGTTAATATTTTTCAACCAACAACCCCCCACCCTTGCCAGACAATATGAATCAATCAGTAATTCAATCGAGTCTGTCTTTCTGTCTGGTCTGGTCTCACTTTTTCTCAAAGGTTTTGGAGAACTTTACTGGCTTTAGCTGAAAATCTTTGAGCTCCAAGGTCATCTGTAAGTCACTGGCTTGAACCACCGATGAGCAAGCCAACTCTTCTCTCCCAGGCTGTGGCTTCAGAGCAATGGGTGTGTAGCAGAGCTCAACCCAAAGAGAACTGCTGGCCTCATGGTCAAAATGAGATGTGAGCTTACCAGGGGTGAGCCTGGACCATGGTTTATGAGTCCTGGCTCCAGAGACCCAGCCTCTCACACGGCTGGAGCAACATCACATTCCTGGACACCAGGCTCAGAGTCTCGAGAGTAATCAGAGATGTACAAAGTGTGACATACTCTGTTTAGGCCACTGGATATCTAAAAATATGAGATTTCTGTCTGCTGTGAAGCAGCAGCTCGCTGCATGAAGAGAACCACGGAGGCTGCTGCTCTAATAGGGATGTGAGCTGATGGCAATGTGGCCCGTGGAATGAGGACCTGGAGGCTCTTCCCTTCTCTACTGTTGTTAACATCACAAAGCTCAGCGCCACATGTGGTTACCCTGGCTGATTCAAAATACCAAGAGGAAATGGATCATTCTTATTCCTGAATGAAATACTCCAGGAGCCTGTGCTCCCAGGGAGCGTCATCTACACCTTAGAAAAACGTGGGAGTGAGGAGCCTTCTCTGAGTATGTTCTCCCAGCCCCAAGGATTGAGGAACCCACATCCCCTGAGCCAAGCACGCCCTAGCCCGGCAAGGGTTCCATTCTCATCTTCCTCCAGAAACAGAGCTCTAAGTAATGGCTCTGTACTTGGCCAACCCACAGAAGGCTGATAAGCCCATGATAAAGTGGAACCACAGTCTGATAATTCTATAAAACGGAACCACTTGAACCTGGGAGGTGGGGATTTCAGTGGGCTGAGATCGCACCACTGTACTCCAGCCTGGGTGACAGAGCAAGACTCCATCTCGAACAAACAAACAAACAGCTGGAACCACGATGTGTTGTATCTTACAATGTATCTGTGGCTTCAGCGGTGGATCCCGGCCCACGTCTCCCTGACAGCATGAGTGGTAACTTCCTACCCTAAGATTTAGCCAGTGACTTCTGTATTGAGGGCAGGGGCCACAAGGCTGAGGAGGAGGAACTGGGGTGTGGGAGGATGGGGTCTGACAGGAGTTAGCTGTGAGGACAGAATGGTGGGGGGCAGAGGGCTGAGATCAGGATGATTGATTTCTGGGTAGGTGGAGGACACTAAAAAACCAGAAAATTTCAAGAAAAGAAAATAACAGAATGCTGTAGAAATCAACTGAAGAGGTTTAGCTTTATATTTAATACAACAGGCACTTCATTTTCTTAGATTTCTCATTGCACGACCATCAAGTAAGGGCTTGGTTTTAGTCTGGGGACTGAAAATCGCTGGTCTAGATTAAAATTTCTA